ATCCCACACCACACAAACATATTATTTATAATTATATATCCCTAGCTAGCCGAAATATATCCTTGTTTATGCGATAAGACTAGGTCCTACCAATATGCCCACGGAGTTGTATTTGTTCTTGCTAGCTTGAGTTGAAGTAAACAAATATACGTATATCAAAGGAAAAGCACAAGTATAAAGAGATTGAGATGAAGGTCTTTCCATGGGATGGATGATGGGTTCCCTAATGGCTAATGGAGCGGACTTACGTTTACCATATCAATACCTTACCTAGACCTGGCAAAGTTGATCCTTACCCGATTACCCGAACTGATTTACTCGATTCGTGACTTGATATAGACCCAAATATGATGACCCAAAATTGATCCTAACCCAAAATAAATTGAATCGAACCGAAAACGACCCGAATTTTAGTTGAACCGAAATAACCCAAACCGAAAGTAACCCAAACTGAATGCAACTCAAATCGAAAACAACCCGGACAGAAAGTAATCAGAATTTAATTTACCCATATTCGATTTCGACCCAATTTTAATTCGATAATTGAGTCTAAGTAAATGAATAATTTATTATTATTATTATATATTTTTAATAATTTGATAAATAGTAAAATGATGCATATTTTATTCTCATTTTGTATTATACTACTAGTTAACAATTAGTATATCATCTTTAGTAATAGTTGAATGGTTCAATATAATTTCCTCATTTAAAAGATCTTCTTTGTATATGATCCAATAACTTTTAAATTATTTAAAAATTATATATATCAATATTTATTCAAATATAATTATTATATTATTTTTTAAAATTCAATAAATATTATATTTATAATTAAACAACAAACATCTTATTAAAATGTTTAATTAAGAATAAAATTTATAATTTAAAATTTAATTCTTCACCAAATAGATTGCACCACAAACTTTTTAGGTTAGATCAATATGAAATTCAAGTCATAAAATCTAATATGTCTTATAGGTTCGGGTCAAATTGTCATCCATAAATAATAGTGTTATTTGAAACATTGAAGGTTGAACTTGAATTTAAATGATAAGATTGAAAAACAAAAATATATTTTTTCTTATAAGAATATATCAATAATTTTATATATACTTGATTGGACTCATACTTAACTCAACCCAAATTGACTCGAAAATCTAAATATTGACTCGAACCGAGGTTGTTCAATCTGATATTGACCCGACCTGAAAATCAATCGATCTGATATTGATCCGACACGAAATCAATCGATATGATATTGACCCGACCCGAAATCAATCAATCTGGTATTGACACGACCCGAAAATCAACCGATCTGATATTGACCCGACCCGATACCCAACCCTACCCGATTTACCATTAACCTGAATTAAAACCGAACCCAAAATGACTCGACCGGAATCCGAACCCGACTCGATCAAGTCTCATATCGAAATGACCCGACCTGAACTCGATCTGAATAACTCGTTTGCCACCTCTAACCTTACCTTTAGTACAATAATATTTCAAATCTCATAATTAAAATTTTAAATATGATAAGTATTTAATTCATCAAGGGGTTTCAAAGGTAAAAGAGAATGGTGTTCTTCTTAAAAGTCTTGAGTTCAAGTAATTGCGTTTGTTGGATGTGTGTTGTCAATTGATTAAGAAAATTATGCACATATATGATCTTATATATTGGGGAAACCGGGTTATTTTCCACACGAACTTAGTTTCAAAATTGATCTGAAACATCAGGATTAAAATTATCTAGCTTGCACAACGGATAAACCCGTCAAACTATTGAATATTGAAATACAATGAAGAAAACCTAATAATGAACATACAAAATAAGTAATGGAGAGAACACACCTAATTTACAAGGTTCAACGAAATATTGTCTACTCATCGGAGACCACAAACGGATGATAACTTCACTATCAACAAAATATTACGACAAATAGAATTCCTTAGAGTTCCCAAACTATTACAAAGTGGGAGAATGAAGAAAAACAAATGAGAGTGATAATTTTTGGGATAATTTCAAATGAAAGTGCTTAGGCCTATTTATAATTGAGCTTCAATAGCTAAATTTATAAATAATCTAATAATTTATACACCAAATATAAATTTTTTCATGTACAAAAGTTGGCCACTTGCCAACTTCTTGAATCAACCTGTAACATTTGATGTCCATCATAATCATTTGTCAACTTAAACTTTTGATGCAATCTTGCATCAATCTTTAACCAAAATGGTTGTTATATATCTTTGGTAATAGCAAAGTTGAACTTTGATACTTGCCAATTTTAACTAATGTTTGAACTTATCAAGTTGTAGATTATTAAAAAAACAATATGATAAGTAGTGGTACATAATTAGATATAAGAGAAATGTTAAATATGAGGTTGGATTATGTACAGTAAGATTACCAGTAGGAATAAAAGATTACCAGGGAATAGGATTACTGGAAATGTTGTATTTTGTGTTTGGTTGGTTTAGCATGAATGTAAGATTACCGTGTTTGGTTAAAGGAATAAAAGATTATTGGAATATATATTTGACCAAATTGTCCTTATTATATATTTGTATAATATTACAAATTGTAAAATATTTATATATTTTCTTTAAAAAATTAAATTCATAATATTTATATAATTTTTTTACAAAATTAAAAATATAAAAAAGGTTTAATGAAAGGGTAAAAAAAATTTAACCCTTGAACTTCATATAAAATTTTAATTATAGATTTTTTTTGTAAATCTAAAATAACTTAAGGATAAATTTGTAATTTAATATTCGTAGAATTTTTATTATTCAATGACAGAAGAAGGATATTTTTGAAAAAAAATAAAAATTTAAGGGCATTTTAGTCCAAAACGCCGGTAATGTTACAATACCTAAGGGAAGGGAGGTAATGACATTCCCGGTAATATACCCAAAAAATCTACTATTGGTAACAAAACATTACCGGAAATGAGATTCTCGTCCAACCGAACATGAGAATATGGGACATCCCATGAGAATCTTACGATCCTTAAATCAAATACCCCTAATAATACGTAATTCCAGTTGACCACCATATAGACACTATAAACCAACTTGCTTTCACCCGCACTATCACTTTAACACTCTAAACTTTATCTAAAATATCTTACAAATTCAAAAGTGTTATGTTTAGATAACTAAAGTGACTTAAAAAAATCTCTTTGAATCTCTTACTTAAAAAAACAATTTGATATAACTAAAAACAAATTATTTAATAAAATGTATAAATTAAAAAGCAGATTGCAAAAGTGGAGATCCACGTATGCGCAAGAATACAAAATATTAATAATAAATCATATTAAATTTATAGGTTCTAAATCATTAAGAGGATCCTATAGATAATACAACAACAACAAAACTCTATTTTCATATGTAATAGGATAAGGGGAAGTAAGGTAGTAGGCTGTCTCAAACTCTATGTTGAGAGCAGTTTCCGTGGAAGACTTCCGGTAATTAAAAAATTAAAAATAAAGATAAAATACAATGCATGTATAAATAATTATTGATTATCATTTTAGCTATTCATCCCCAAAAACAATTTCTTGTGTCCATCACCGCTGAAGCTTTTATATGTGAAATCACTTGTAAGAGCAAAACCCTTGCTAAACCTAAATAATTTTCACGAGTAGAATTTTCAAGTTTAAACAATATATTTTCGGGTTGAGCAGGAGGCCAAAAAATTGGCCCGCGCCACCCCGTGACCATCCCTATTTATGTCTAGTTTTCTCGAGTTTGGACTGGATCATTGGCATATCGGAGTTTTATGCTTGATAGGGAACTGTATGTGCATGGGCAGCATGGCTGCTTCCCTGCCTTTCAGGTATGCCATATGGTTGATTATTGATTATTATATTCTTCTTCTTCTTTTCCCCTATTAGCAACTATTATTTTAGGAGGCAACCCCCTCCCCCTATATTTTCTGTAATTACCATTCATAATGAACCAGAGCAAGTTCTGTTCTTTGCTTGTAGTTGTCGTGTCTTATTTGCGGAGGGAGTCGAAAAGAAATCTCTTTGAGTAAAATAAAGTCTTGAATATGATTTGAGGTTTTATATGCCGCCATTGTTCCTTCACCTGTTTGATATGTGACTGGTTCCAATTTTACTGCCTTTCACAAGTAGTATGGGAGTGATTCGTATAAGTTTTATCATTAACAAACTATATAAACTTCATGACAAACAACGCTGTCTTGTAACTTGTTGTATAACTTATTCCCAAATATGCGTCGAGTCACAGAACCTGTACAGTGAGCACGTATTTTCTCGGAACCATCTTTTTCGTCACGAAATCCCGTGGTTAAGTGTATAATCGGATCCATGACCTCTTTTCCACATGTACATTACTAATATCAAATGGCATCTCTTTGATGGGCAACAAAAGAAAGATTCATTAAATACCTGTTCAAAATGTAACAGAGGACGCTCCGAGGATGGTTGATCCTTTTATGATGTCTGAATTTGTTGTAAGAAATACAGTTCTTTTTTCTTCTTTTTGACGACATTAAACAACAGATTCACTTATTGGATTGGGAAATAAATCGTTCCTAAATTTTAGGCTGTTGTAAGAAAGTTTCCATAAAAAATATACTTTCTCCAAACAGTTGAAGACCGGAAAGAGAGATACATATCGTATTTATACATACAAACTATGAAGGCAGGGAAAGGTAAAGATCCCTCTTCACCTTTGGTGCATTTTGACCCATCGCCCAACTATATGAGAAATGATTTTATCCTTCCTCAACTATGTTATTAATTATTCAACAATTTATGGACGTGATATTGCCATTCAAATGACGACTTTTTTCTTCTTTCATTTTCTTCTTTTAAGAAATGGATCGATTTGCATAAAAAAAACAAAATTTGTATTATATATAAATTTTATGAAAATTTGAATGTAAAACATGTTTTTGCTATATGTTTATCATCCAACTACCACAATTTGTCTCCTTTAAGACACCCTTTTGCTTTTTAATTTTCCCTTTGTTGTAATTCTTTGCCGACCGATTGGAGTGGGAAGGAAGGACATGGCAGGAATGGATGGCGGGTTCGAGAAGGAAGCATGGAAATCTCATGCCTCCATGGCTTTGGTTCAACTCATCAATGGAGGCTATCATGTAATTACCTAAGTAGCCCTCAATACTGGTATCAACCAGTTTGTTTTCTGCGTCTTCCGTGATCTTCTTGCTCTCTCAATTCTTGCCCCCATCGCCTATTTTAGTGAAAAGTATGACCTTTTTTTCTTCCATCTCTTCGTCTGGGGTTGACCTTATCAATAATTTGTTAAAAGAAAATTGGGCCCTTTATTTCTCTTGGTTCTAACGTTTGGTTATGCGTTGATTGAATCAAAGTTCGATACTTTTATGTGTTTGACCTTATATTTAGTGATTGATCGATCTGTTCCCATTATGGTGATCAGCATGGTATCCGCAGCTAAATTAATATATTTTTTTGGCTTGTATTCTATTCTTGTTAACGATTCTATTCTTGTATGTTCACTTTCCTGCAGAAGGATTCGACCTCCTATGACTAAACGCCTCCTCCTATCATTCTTCTTTCTTGGGTTAACTGGGTGAGTCTCACTTATCTAAACTAATCCTAGTTGATATGGGAATATTTTATACTCGGATTGTGACTGATTGGTCAATTGGAATAGGATATTCAGGAACCAGCTTTTATTCCTCTTTGGTCTGAGCTACAGAAATCCAAGTTATGCCTCTGCCATACAACCTTCAATTCCGGTCTTTACCTTTCTCTTTGCTGTAATGATGGGGTAATAGCACAACTTTGTGTGCTTTTTTCTTTCTTTCTAGATTTTATTTGGTTTTGTTTGATTTCTATATTTCTGTATTAAATTCTACCTGCAGTACAGAAAGAGTGAATTTGCTCAAAACTGAAGGTCAAACAAAGGTTGGAGGTACCCTAATCTGTGTTTCGGGCGCTATATTAATGGCTGTGTTTCGAGGTCCGGCTTTGGTTGGACAGCCGACTGCAGACTTTGCTGTCCAAAATGGCATAAGTATCAGGGGTCAACTAGAGCCTGCTGGATGGCTTTTGTCTAGTTTTCTCGAGTTCGGACTTGATCATTGGCATATCGGAGTTCTATGCTTGATAGGGAACTGTATTTGCATGGCTGCTTTCCTGGCTATTCAGGTATGCCATATGCTTGATGGTTCCGTTCTTTGCTTGTAGTAGGTTAGATGTCGTGTCTTATTTTCAAAGCGAATTGAAAAGAAATCTCTTTGAGTAAAACTAAAGAGGAAACGGCCTGTGTGGTCTTGAATATAATTTGAGGTTTGATATGCCACCCTTGTTCCTTGACCTGTTCGATACGTGACTCGATAGAATTTTAGTGATCCAATCCCATTCCACTGAACATCTTTAAGATTATGTAGTTAGATCATCTTGTCAATAACCAATCCTTTTAGGAAGCTAACTTCTTAGCTGTTATCATAAATCTAGAATTGGTTTCAGTTTCAGCATTACAATGCCTTTTGATGCCTGTTTAAATCATTTCCTGGTGTAACCATTTGTGAAGCTTTCCGGCTGTCTTTTCTTGGGCAACACTATCTTTTGCTTAGTGCCTTTCACAAGTAGTAAGGGAGTGGTTCTTATAAATATTTCATCATTAACTTATCGTAGAACTTATGATGTGTATTTTGTTGTTATTAATTACTTGTTTATCTGAAATTTTACTGTCTATAACACTTCCAGGCTCCGGTTTTAGTCAAGTATCCCGCCAACATTTCCGTGACCGCGCTTTCCTATTTTTTCGGTACTTTATTGATGCTAGTGACATCATTTCTGGACACCAACGAGTCAACAGATTGGCTTCTGAAACAGTCTGAGCTTTTTGCCGTCGTGTACGCTGTAAGTTTCTTATGATTTTTATAGGATCTCGAATCTTAAAGACCTAATTTGCGCACGTGTTCTTAGATCTTTGGCCTCAATACTCGAAATGCTAGTGTGATCATAATAACCAAGGCTGTGGAAGTATAAAAAAAGTTATCTGATATGTGTGGATGTTTGGCTTTGGCAGGGAGTTGCAACATCGGCTCTTAGCTATGGACTCATGACGTGGTCGAATAAGATCTTGGGGCCGGCTTTAGTGTCTCTCTATAATCCACTTCAGCCTGCAATATCAGCCTTTCTGTCGAGAATTTTCCTGGGAAGTCCGATTTATTTGGGAAGGTTTTATTTCTGTCTATTCCCCTACAAATCAGAATCTAAATCTCTCATCTAGTACAAAAATGGTTCTTAAATATATGTATATATTCACTTGGTTTGGTCTTGTTTCATATGCGGTAACAGTGTTATCGGCGGATTTCTGATAATCGTGGGTCTATATATGGTCACTTGGGCATCCTACAGAGAAAGACACAAGGCGACAGCCGTGAAGCCTCAGATTGTTCAGTCATCCGAACCACTTATTCCGAAATATGCGTCAAGTAAGAAGAACCCGTCCGTCTTATCGGAACCATCTGTTTTGTCACTGAAATCCAGTGATCAAGTGTATAATCGGATGTGATGTAATGTTCCATGGGGTGGCAAAAGTGAGATTCGTTAAGTACATGTTCAAAATGCAACAGATGACGCCCTGAGGGTGGTTTGCTCATTTTATTTATGCTGCATGAATTTGTTGTAAAAAAACACAGTTTTATTTTATGTTATTAAACAATAAATTGATCATTTATTGGATTGGGAAATAAGCGTAATCCTTCTGTCATAAATGGTTTCCTATTAATTCCAGTGGCAAAATGCACATACCCTATAGGGGTACTTGCTCGTACTCATAATCTCTAAAAAAATGAAATTATCTTCTACCACTAAAATTACTTGAACCCGAAACTTGAAGAATAATATTGTCTTCTACTACTAAAACTACTCAAAGGATTCTAATACTATTTTAATTTTATTTGTGTTAATAAATAATTATCATTTAACTCGTAATTTTGTGTCGCGTATGATAAAGATGTGTCTAATCAATCGTAATATTATATTGCGTGGCATAAAAGAATTTAGATAATAGAAAAAGCATAAGATTAAAAAAATATTTTTTTAAAGGATGGTTTTGGGTAAAAGCCAAATCTTTCCATTCAAATCAAAGTGATTTTAATATAGAAAATAAAGAAATTTAAGAGTTTAAGTTGTAGGGTTTGGTAGGTTCTATAAATGATCAAATAAATCAAACTAGTAAACTGAACAATAATATATTATCATTAATTTGTTATGACCATAATTTTATCAATCAAATTATTTATTTATTTATAAAAAGAATAAAAAAATATATAAAAAAACTTCCCTTATTTGGGGGATGTAAGGAAAAAAATTATAGAATAAGTGGGCGAAAATGTTCTCAACAAATAAAATATCAAATAGAAAAATAGATGTGGAAGAGAAATTGACTAACAACAACTTGAAGGGGTGAATGTAGAAATATGGAAAAAGACTGGGCAACTCATGGAATTACAATGAAATAAATATTTTAGAAACTGAAATGTTTTGCCAAAACAAACATAAAAAAGGAAGGAAAAAAACGTAACCTTTTTGTATCTTGTTTCCGGGGGAAGAAGAGGATTTATACAGAAACTGGAAGGAAAAGAAGAAAGAAGAGAGACCCCAAAGGCCAAAAAGTATTACGTTTTCATTGGATCTGAGATACAGACAGTTCGATTGTAAAACAGTTTTGGTTGAGTTTTGATTTTCAAAGACTGCGGAGAACGAGGCGGAGATCTGAGCAACTGCTGCTATCAACACTTGCCTGGAGGTATTCCTCAAACTTGGTTTTAGTCGTTCACTTTTAATACTTGAAATTATTGGAGATCAATCTTTCTTTTGCGCGCACCTCAACATATTGAATAAAATTTGCGAAATGGACATGATTTTCTGTGTACATTTTCTTGTCGATTTTCAATCCTCATGTTTGTTTCATTGTCTCCTGCACCACGCGATTAATGAATCAAAATCCATCGATCTTTTAGTTTTGCCGTTGATTTGGTTTTATGATTAGGATTCGTGATCATTTGTGTTACATGCTTGGTTGTCAAATTGCGGTACCTTCATCCACTGACGCTTTTGCTAAAATCAATGTGATCTTCGAATTCAATTCCATTGCAAGTGCAACTTTGAGGTTGGCTGTCTCAGATAGTATTCAAGCAGCACAGCAGGTAAATTAGAAGTTTCGACGCTGGCAGAATATACCCAATGAAAAGCTGTTAATTTGTTATGCAAAATAGAATTAATGGTATTTAGTAGAATTGCAGAATCGATATCTGGCGGGTCAAATCTTTTATCTTATACACGGTCTTCTGCAGCTTCATACATGTCGCCTGCTTTGTCACCACATACGGATAAAAATGTTCTCCATGGGTTTGGTTATGCTAAATCTGGAAACAAAAATAACCTGCGCCTCTCCGCATCACTCCAAGATTTCTCATTATATCACCGTCTTGATCCAGAAGCAGCTAATCTTATTTCTGAAATTGACAAGAGCATGACCTATTCGAAACACCCTCTACAGAGAGAAAATGTTGCGGCAAGTTTCTCAAAGGAGAAGGGTTTGCCAGGTGGAAACCCTTTTCTAATGAGAAAGTGGGTGCGGTTTATCATGGTTTTCTTGTGCCTACTCTTCTTCATTTTTTTGGCATACATGGTTTGCATGCATATATATTCAAATTGGTCCACAGGAGCCTCCAAGTTTTATGTTGTTCTTGATTGTGGAAGTACTGGAACTAGAGTGTACGTGTATCAGGCTTCAATTGATCACAAGAATGATGGTAGTCTTCCTATTGTCATGAAATCATTAACCGAAGGTCTTTCTAGAAAGCCAAGCACACAAAGCGGACGTGCTTATGATAGGATGGAAACTGAGCCTGGGCTTCATAAGTTGGTGCACAATAAATCTGGCTTGGAAACTGCAATAAAACCACTTATTTCATGGGCAGAGAAGCAAATTCCTGAAAGTGAGCATAAGAACACCCATCTTTTCCTGTATGCTACAGCTGGAATTCGCAGATTGCCTAATTCTGATTCAAAATGGCTTCTGGAAAATTCTTGGTCAATACTAAAGCATTCACCTTTCTTGTGCCGCAGAGAGTGGGTAAAGATTATCAGTGGGACAGAGGAAGCTTACCTTGGGTGGACAGCCCTTAACTATCTCACGAGCATGTTGGGAACAACCCCTAAGAAAGCAACATTTGGTGCACTTGATTTGGGTGGATCATCATTACAAGTTACATTTGAGAATGAACATCGTCAACATAATGAAACCAATTTAAACCTTAAAATTGGAGTAGTTAATCATCATCTAAGTGCCTACTCTCTCTCTGGCTATGGTTTGAATGATGCATTTGAAAAGTCTGTAGTTCATTTATTAAGGAGGCTTCCGGATGGCTCCATTGCCAACCTGGTTAATGGAAAGATTGAAATTAAACATCCTTGCTTGAACTCTGGCTATAATGAGCAATATATTTGTTCTCAGTGTGCTGCAAATGACCAAGGAAGTGGGAGTCCTTTAGTTCAAGGGAAAATTTTGGATAAAGGAGGAAAATCTGGAATTCCAGTGCAGCTTATTGGTGCTCCAAATTGGGAGCAATGCAGTGCAATTGCCAAAGCTGCTGTCAATTTATCTGAATGGTCAAATCTTTACCCAGAGATTGATTGTGATTTGCAACCTTGTGCGCTTTCTGATAGCTTGCCTCGCCCTTATGGCCAGTTCTATGCTCTATCTGGGTTTTTTGTTGTATATCGATTCTTCAATTTGTCTCCAGAGGCTGCACTTGATGATGTACTGGAGAAGGGCAGGGAATTTTGTGAAAAAACCTGGGAAGTAGCCAGAAACAGTGTTGCTCCACAGCCGTTCATTGAACAGTACTGCTTTCGAGCACCATATATAGTATCACTGTTAAGAGAGGGCTTGCACATCTCGGACAGTCAACTTGTCGTTGGTTCTGGAAGTATTACGTGGACAATGGGTGTTGCATTGTTGGAAGCTGGGAAGTCATTTTCAAGCAGATTAGGGCTCCATGGATATCAAATATTGCAGACCAAGATTGATCCAATAATCCTAATTGCCATTGTTTTAATTTCATTGGTTTTACTTGTTTGTGCATTATCATGTGTTTGTAATTGGATACCGAGATTTTTCCGGAGGCCATATCTTCCTCTTTTCCGGCATAACAGTGCACCTTCATCTGTTCTTAATATACCATCTCCTTTCCGGTTAAAGCGCTGGAGTCCTGTGAACTCAGGTAAGATCTCTTTTATGACGTATTATTTGGAGCATAATTCTACCGCTTTTCTTGGCTATGTTTTCCATGGGAGAGAAATATCCTCTCAAATATGTTAATGGATACCTTCCTTCTATGCAAGGATGCCTACTATCAAAATTTAGTCACAGCTGTCCATCTGCATAACGATTATGCTCCAAAACAGGCTACAAAAGCGATGAAGTTATTTGTCTCCTGTGTCTTATTACTTGGATGCTCTGAATTTGAAGTTAGCTTTACATATTTTTTAGCACTCAAAGTACCTCAGTTTCAACGATTTTTTGTACACAATATTTTGGATCTGACATTGCCCTCAGCTATTTGCTTACTATAGGATCCATTAACTTACATTAATGAACTTGAAGTGTCTGTTCAGTGTATGAACCTAAGTAATTTATATGAACCTAATTATTTACTATAGAGGTTCTTGAATGTTGTTCTCCTTTTGAACTTCTTATTACTTGGCTTCGTTATGATTGTTTCTATGATCCTCATTCTCTCTTTTACAGGGGATGGAAGAATTAAGATGCCCCTGAGTCCAACAGTTCAAGGTGGTCAACAAACATCGTTTGGCTTGGGACATGGTATGGGCAGCAGCATCCAACTCACTGAGTCTTCCTTGTACTCCTCAACCAGCAGTGTTTCACATAGTTATTCCTCCAGTAGCTTGGGGCTGATGCAATTTGACAGTAGTAACATGGGTTCCTTCTGGTCCCCTCACAGAAGTCAGATGCGACTGCAAAGTAGGAGATCACAATCACGAGAAGACCTTAACTCCTCACTAACCGATATACAATTGGTGAAAATTTAGGAAAGGCTTTGCAGAAGTTTTGGTATGATTTTATCTTCTCCTATTTGCATCTTACCTTTATAACAATAGGACATGAGAAGTTTATAAGATCTGCTTTCTCTTATTAATTATAGGCGTTCTTTTCTTGTAACATGCAGAACTTGGGTTTAAAAATGAGTTAAACACAGTGAATTTATTATGATCATATAACCTGTTAAAACAGGACTGTGACTCTCCGAACTATGCCTGGACGCAGAAGTAATATATGATGCACTTAAAAACAAAAATTTTTGTTCATCACCATTAGTTCTCTTAATCTTTAATGAATTGCATTGAATTCATTTCCAGATGCAACAAGGAATACTGAATTTATGCGAAGCGGGATGACACAAGGAAAATGAGGATGAGATGGTCTGATCATTGGTTCTTCCAGATTTTGGTTAGAAGGAATTTCCGGGTCTTGTTATCCGGCTCCTCGATTTACCTGCGTTTATAAATTGCATATCTGTTGGGATTTCGAGCAATTGGTCACCATTCATTCATATATTTCACAAGGGCAGGTGATGTGCTGACTTATTTTTTAATTCGAGTGTCTCTTCTACCTCTTTCGAGTATTAAAATTGCACAGCCTATACCTGAAAGCATCTGTCATTACAGACACAGCTAGATTAATAGTATTACTCTACTTTTTACCCCTCTTATGACCAGAAATGATTTATTTTCTTTGATTATCAGTAGCATGATATGCATACAAAATCAATCTTTATATTTTTCACACCAAAGGGCGTTCGCCAGGGACGGAACTAGAATGAAATATCGGAAAAGTCGACTACTTTCATTGTTTTTTCCGTCCAAATGGGTTAAGAACACCCATCAGTTGAGTTGGTTTGTGGTGGTGTTCCTTGTTGGTGGAACTACCAACTTATGCCAAACTTTTGTGTTTTGGCATCCTATTTGGGCTAGCCTTCGGGCATAATAGAAGACAGTGACAGATCCATAAATATTTTTTAGGATCGGCACAATTATAGTAATGTCATAATTGTTTTGAATAAGGTGGGTACAAATAATATTTCAGGATGGCACCATCAATAAGGTAAATAATTAACATAAAGAAATTGAAATTTCAGGTTGGGCATACGTTTGCCAAAAATAGGAAGAGGAAATTAATTCGGTATGATGCCAATGCGTAAGACCTATGGATGATGGTGCTGGCTTATGCTTTGCCCAGTGCCCATTTGCCCAAACGTCTGTCTTTTATTTGTACACATAAATATAAACCTAAGTTTAGGCAGAAAGGTACGCAAGTTTTTACGTTAGGGTGTTACTTATAAAATCCTAAAGATAAAAATAAATATCAATAAAAATATGAAGAAAATATTTAAAAATATCAATAAAAAATACGAAGAAAATATTTAAAATTATATAATAATTTATAATTTAAAAATTTTAGGAGATGATTATTCATAATCGCCTCTCTGGTCCATTCTTGATTTTAGGCATTAATACAAAAAAAAAACAAAATTGCTTGTAATCTAACCATGCCTGCATGATTAAAACTATTCCCTGGAGGGATAGTGTGACACATTCCCCCAATTTATTTATTTATTATTTTTTGGTTTTGTTTATTGAAAAATTACATGTTAAATATTTAAATTTTATGCAATAAATAATTATCAATAAAAAAAATTACTAATATACTAAATCAAGGGTACTAAAATGTAGCTTAAAATTTGTATAAATAAATAATTAAGTAAAAGTGTGGTGTATTACAAAAATAACATGAATTTGTCAAATTATATAATGAAAATATTAATATACTATAATGCAATTCCTTTCTTTAAAAACCTATAATTGAATCTATCTAGTGATTGATTGAAGGAAATATTATTTTTCCAATAGGTTTTAAGTTCAAACAGTTGCGTATATAAGATGTATGTTGTCAATAAATAAAAAAGAATATAAATAAATATTTTTTTTGTAATTATCTCATATTATTAAAAAATCTATAATTATTAGAAAATCCAAAAAAAAAAAATTTTTGATAGACGTGCATTTAAATCACAAGACTTGCATATCTCGTTAAAGATACGAGAGCGCTGCAGCACGAACCTTTGTCTGCCCATTAAACTACTGGTCCCTTAACCAATTGTTTCGACCAAAGAACTGGTCCATGAATATTTTGAAAAATCCTAGTTTTTCTTTTTTTCAACCATTACAACTAAATTTTATTAATAAAAATAAAAAAATTAAAATTACAATACACCCAAACATAGAGAAAATGAGACAATAAAAAAAGCATACATAAAACAAAAATATTAAATTTAAAGATACGAAGAAAAACGAAATATTCCATTGAGAATGACGTCCAACATCAAAAGAACACATTAACCTTCATAAAACGCATTGTCTCTGTCGAATGAGACGATTTACGAAGTGATAAAGGAGTAGTGAGTGAACCAAACAATTTGAAAGGTTGTTTCGTTATACAATTCTAATTACATCGACAAACAATCATTTGGATCTTTGTGTGAGAAAAATATCGTGAGGATCATTGTGCGAGTACCAACACGACCGTGGAAGTATAAGAAAAATATACCAAAAGTCATAGGGAACATGCCACAAAAGCATTAAAAAAACATACCACAAGAGCATAAAAAATGTGTCATAAAGACAAAAATTCTTATTTAAAATTTAAAAAATTCAAAAAATAAAAGAAGCAAAGAACATAGTATAAAAAAGAACAAGAAAAATAATAATCATTAGAGGTCGGCAATCAATATTAAGATTGAAATCGTTGTCGGTTAAACAAAAATCAAAAGAAAAAAGAAAGACGACACAAAAATATTAAGACGAACTTAGATTAAAGAAAAAAAATCATAGTTAATATAAGGTAAATTTAAGTGAAATTATTTAAAATAGTATCGAATTATATAAATTACTATAACGTTATAATATTTTTTTTTATATAATAAACACTAAATACTATACATAAAGTATTACTCAATTCAAATATTTTATATGATTACACAAAAATATTATAAAATAATAAAATTTATTTAAATTAATAATGTTTATGTATTTCTTTTATTCTTTAGCGTAGTACAATTGATGTTACAAAAATATTACAATTATTGTGTATAATCCTCCATGTTAGGATAAACATTTGTGAATTTCAATTGGTAAGTAATATTCTTTCCATCCCATAAATTTTTTTCTTATGTTTATTAAGTAAATAATTTTAAGAGATAAGTTTTAAAACATGTTATGTTTATAAGACGACGAAAATAATAAAATTATCTCTAAAAATAATTAAAAGATTTGATAAATTTATTTTAATAGGTGTAAAGAATAAACAAATATAAATAAAATATAAATTTTATTATTTGTTAATTTTTATAATGAGATATTTTGAATTTACAATTTTAAAAATAAAAAATAAATAAATTTAATGGAACAATTAGAATTATGTTAGTTACTAGTAAGATATGTGGTAGTTCTGTTATACGACAGTCTAATTTAAGACTAAAGAAAGGTGCAACAGAAAATGTTAAACTCTTTTTAACATTTCCAGTTTTATATTAGTTATTAGTAAGATATGTGGTAGTTCTGTTATACGGCAGTCTAATTTAAGACTAAGGAAAGGCACAACAGAAAATGTTAAACTCTTTTTAACATTTCCAGTTGAGTGAAACCTAAAATATTATTCTTTTAACATTTTTTATTTACTTTCCCGTAATTAAGGGAGATTAAAATTCTACTCCATTAAAATATTTGATTTTTTATTCAATTCGGTATTAAAAAGTTAGATTTCTAATTTTGTAAATACTATTTAATTTGAAAAAAAATTAAATAAAACTTGAGTTATAAAATGAGATTTGAATAATTTAATATTTTAATTATTAGTTGATTGATTTTTAGTTCGAGTCTAATCCCTCAATCATGTATGATATGTGTATATCATATATGAAAATATATATATAGTATACGATTATAGAAAATCGTTTAAATTAGAATCAATTAATATAATAATTTTATAAATATTTATAATTAAATTTAAAAAGAAACTCGAACAATTTAACTCAACTTGAATTTTATACACTCGACTTGACTTAAACAAATTTCAAATGAAATTTAAATAGTCAAATAAAATTTATTAACTTGACCAATTTAAAAAAAATTAACTTAATTCAATTGAATGATAACCCCTATATGTAACTGATGTTGAAAAGTTATTGAGGAAAAATATAAAAATGGGAATGTTGGTCCAATTCCCTGATATGACCTGCTTAGCTTGCATTTCACGTACAACTCCATAGATGCACATGCACATGCACATGCACATGCATTGTCTTTTAAGCAAAGTTTGGTGCCTCCAATTCCCCTTTACGTTGTGTGCATATATTTCCCATGATGGATTAAGGCAAAACCCTGCGCACTGCTTTCTTCACAATTCAAAGTTTAAGCAAAACCCAACATAGAGTGATGCACGCCTTTTCTTCCTCCTTTCTCTCCATCATAGCACCATCAACAAAACCCCCATCTATTGCCCCACCATCTTATGTTCCTCGCCGTTACATTTCCTCCGTAAGAATTGACGAAAAGCCTCTGACTTACCGTAGCTAAGGAAAGAGTACAACCAAAGTTGTCCACAATGATCTTCAACACATTTGACGACATCATAAACAACTTCAAAGACCCTCCACTCCGACCTTCAGTCGACCCCAAGCATGTCCTATCCTGAAACTTTGCACTGGTCGATGAGCTTCCACCTACACTGTGTGAAGTCATACAAGGATCACTCCCGTCTTGCCTCGAAGGTGCATACATTCGTAATGGCCCCAACCCTCAGTTCCTCCCTCGTGGACCTTACCACCTCTTTGATGGTGATGGCATGCTTCACTCCATTGGAATCTCCAACGGCAACACCACTTTGTGCAGTAGATATGTAAAGACTTATAGGTACTCCATTGACAAACAAATTGGTTCTCGAATTCTCCCCCGTGATTTCTCCGGCTTTAACAGTCTAACCGTCGTTGCAGCACGTGGTGCTCTCTCTGCCATCAGGATTCTATTCGGTGAATTCAACCTTACAAACGGTATTGGTCTTGCAAATACTAGCTTGGCCTTTTTCGGGAACCAGCTCTACGCT